AGAAATTAGGTTTTTGTGAGTACTGAAGCTGGGACGTTTTTTTTTTTTATATTTTTTTTTTTTTCGAAGAAGAAGAAGGACCTTATAAAAAATTTCGACCGAACTCCAAGGGTGTAATTTTCAAGAATCTCCACCTATACTACCTTACGCATTGGCTAAAAGAAAGAACACCTTTTCTCCGAGGCTCAAATCAAGGTTCTAAGGAATATTTCGATAAAAGGGTCGGCTTGAAAGGCTCAAACGGTTCAAAGAAGGCCCAAATCATATCCCAAATCACTCACTACTCAATACTTCGTATCATAAATTTCCTAAGGTGAGTCTTAAAACCGAACATAGCATGATCTAGCACAAATTAATTCCAAATTTAAAATACAAAACGTTCAACCAAAGCAATGCACAAAATGTGATTCCTAGCAATAATTCGCTTCTAAGTCCCGTTGAATCGAAAGCTAAACAAACATCAAATCCTTATCACACAAAACAAGCAATTTCATCATCAAACATTGATCATCTCTCATCATCATAAATCATAGATGCATTCGACTCAAGCAATTTTTTTTTTTTTTTTTTTTTTTTTTTTTTTTTTAACCCGGAATTAATAAAAACGAATAAAACCTAATGCATGCAAACTAAAACAAATAAGCGCAAAAATAACATGTTTTTCACCCCCAAACTTAAAATTTTCGTTGCCCTCAACGAAATTAGCACAAAGTTTAAGGATAGAAAACACCTGATTTAGTCGGAGTCGATGTGATCGGGGTGCTTCTCCCTAGCTCTCTCACGCTCATCCTCATCGGACGGCTCGGACACGGGCTCAAGAATGGGTGCCGGTGGATGCCGGCTCGATGCACTCGGGCGTGCCTTGAAAGATGAGATTTTGAAGGAGTTGATTCGATGCTCTAGCCTCCCTGTCAATACCAACACAAAATACGAATCGGAGAGCGTGTGAGTGAATTATGTGGAGAAAAGGAAAGAGGGGGTTTTTTTTTAAAAAAAATTAATGGGGGAGAAAATATAATTTTCGGAAATTTAAAACGCCCAGTAACAGCTGCGGACGGCCGTCCCGCGTTTTGCCCTATTTCTCGGACGGCCGTCCGAGTCTTCTGCCTAACCACTGCTCACGGGACGGCCGTCCCATTTTAAGCCTTGTTCTCGGACGGCCGCACCGTTTCTCGAAATTGGGCAGTAGCTCAATCCATTCTTCGGACGGCCGTGCGAGATTACAGCTCTTTTTCGCACGGCCGTGCCAATTCACCTGTTTTGTCCAGTAGCTCCTCTAAAATCTCACACGGCCGTGTGAGATTTACGCCCTTTTCTTGCACGGCCATGTGCATAATTGCAATTGGGCCCCTGAAAAATACAAACTTCTTATAAGTGCCCCTGAAACTTTTTTTTTTTATTTTTTTATTTTTTTTTTTTTTTCGGACGCCCGACTCGACCCTCGATCACCTTTTCGACCCTGAAAAGTAAAATTCAAATAATAAATTAGAATGCATGCTTATGATACTAAAAACGAAACGAAAAATTAAAGAAAAAATACGAAAAACAATAAAGCTCGGGTTGCCTCCCGAGAAGCGCTAAGTTTAAAGTCTTCAGCCGGACGTTGCTTCTTTAATTTCAAGCAAAAGTGACCGAAGTCACTTGGCAATCTTCACTCGCTTCCCAATACGGTTTGAGCCGGCTCCGTTTTACGTTGAACGTACGATTTGAATCGCGCTCCTTTATTTTGACCACCTCGTGAGGAAGAATTTCTTGGACAATAAATGGCCGCGACCACTTTGATTTGCGCTTCCTTGGAAATAACCAAAGACGGGATTTGCACAATAACACCAATTGTCCTTTGTGCAATTCCTTTTTGATTTTCTCCTTACGACCACAATAGCTTGACTCATCCTTCTTTCGTGACTTGCTCGAGCTTTTGGGTGGCAACATCTT